TAATTCTAAGCCGGATAGCGATCCAATTAGTGGGAAGCACCGCTCTTCGGGGCACCTTCCCGAGGTCGGGCATCCAATCATTTGTCGTCAAAGGAATCTCGAGCTGGCAGGCACCAACACCTCTATCACCATCGTTACTGCCGTGAAAACGAAGACTTATATACCCCTTTTACTCTTTTTATGAACCTCGCTACATGTTCTCATTTAGAGGTGATTCGTTATTCTTTGCGGCCGTCTTTTGTGCAGTCTCGAAAGTTTTATTCACATTTAGGTCTCTGATGGACCGCAGACCATGACGCCAGATCAGATCCAAGTCCTCTTCAGGGACGCCCCGGAAGACGAAGACTCAGGAATACAAGCGTTAAAACCAGTTCTAGACGATGCTCGACAACTCAAGGAAGCAAAATCCCCAGAACTTCAGATCCTAGCAGAAAAGGTTGCTATTGGCAGCCGAGAAGGTGAACATTCTCCATTTCAGATTCCAGCTTCATGTAGCCTATTCTCATATTATACATATTCACATGATTCCGGTCTTATTATATACAATAGGAGCCTCGCTGACAACTTTCCTATAGTTCCGTGGAGAATACCCATTGGAAAATCAGGCTTGCTGGGTTTCTTTCTTGATGGCATAAAAGGAGATGACCTAGATCCTGATCTAACATCTTATGCGCTCCGAATCATAGGAAATACTTGTGCAGATCAAGGTCTGTATGCTCAATTCTCATCTTGATGTTCCTTGTGCTTACAAGATGTAGATGAGAACCGACAGCTGGTTGTCGACTCAGGCCATATTCCTGACCTAGTTAAATTATTAACTCACGATACTCTCTTACAGTTTGCCGTACCAGTGTTATACAACATCTGTGTAGACTATGGTGAGAATAACTGAACGATACACGGGGAAATATATTCTGACAACTTGTCAAATAGAGCCTGCTCAAATAGCAGCATCGAAAGCCAACGCGACGAAGTATATAATCGACTTCCTTACGAACCCCCAACTACAGGACAGAGCGTCGGCATATTTATATAAGCTGGCGGGCCTTGTAGCGACACAAGGTAGGTAACATCATGTCCCTTACATACATAAGCGTGGTTAGAACTGACAAAATCCAAGATGTCGAACCTGAGCTGTTTGTCCCTGAGGCACCCAGTGTCCTCCTATCCCGGGCAACTTTAGAAGCATCCATCCCAGACTCAGCAGATCTAGACAGCTTCGCAGGGCTTTCTATCGCAGCATTGGCATATCTCTCCCACCAGAATTTCCAAGAGAGCTTCTTGAAAACTGCAGACTCCATCAACATATTCCTAGCAGCCTTCAAAACCGCCATGGAGGGACCCCGCATCTTCGACGTCGAAGACCCGGAAGAACGAGCGCAGCTCAACACTCTACAGGCAACATACACACAGACTCTCGCGGACTTATCCGCTCACCCTCTATTTATATCTCTCTGCCCTCTGGACGGCCCTTTAGCACAGTCACTTCTCAAGTGGCTCTCCCCATCCCAACATACACAGCTACAGACAGCAGCGTGTCTATCCCTCGGCAACCTCGCCCGTTCTGACGAATCTAGCATCGCCTTGGTAAAAGAGTTATCAATCCACAAACCTCTCCTCGAAATCGTCTCTTCCGACTCTTCTACCCCTGATCTCCAACTCCTCCACTCAGCCCTCAGCTTCCTGAAGAACCTCTCTATTCCCGCTACTAACAAACCCATACTTGGCTCCGCCGGGATTCTAGATGCAGCGCTGCTCCCGCGGACCTGGGCCATGGACACGCAGCCACAGATCCAATTCGACGGGGTATCGCTTGCGCGCCTTCTCCTCGTAAACTGCGCACCGAACGTCCGACGCATCTGCGTGCCTCCGAGCGAGGGAGCCCAGACGCTACTCCACGAGCTTATGGACGTACATCGTAAGGCCGACCAAGACCCGATAAAGATGGAGACGGCGCGCGCGGTAGCCAATATCTGCCGGGTTTTATACTCCTCTACGCCTGTAGGATCCGCGTTACTTCCTTCTATTGATACAGACTCTGAGACGGCGACTCCTGCCCCCAACGAAGAAACCGCATCTTTATCCCAAGCTGCGCTAGATACCTTCTTTACCGCACACCCCGCGCTAGTAGACACGCTCCTGTATCTCGGGCTACAAACCAAATTCCCTGTTCTCCGATCCGAGCTCTGGTTCGTGCTCGCGCTAATGGCGCGCTCAGCATCCGGTGCAAGTGTCGTAGCGAAGATCCTGCACCAACGGCCCGAGATCGTGAATGTGCTCGTGGAAACCGTTACCGGGGAAAAGATGCCTGAACCCCAGGGCCAAGACCAGGCTGTACAGGAGATAACAGACGGGAATAGTACAGCAGAAGAATCTGGAGCTACGCCCGACCCCTCGGCGTTAAGTGGGCTAGGCCAGCTCGAACCGCAGCAGGTTGACCCGGCGAAAGCGGCGACCATGACGAAGGTGGATCGGGAGAACGGTCTTGTGCTGATTGCCGAGTTGCTGAAACGGTGCTCGGATGAGCTGCCTCAGGTAGCGAAGAACACATTTGGGCGGATATTGAAGACAGGCGGAGAGTTGGTCCTCAGCGAGAAGAGCGATTAGGTTGATAGAACGTTGATACAAGTGCTTGGTTCGACGTGGCTAGATCTGGCTTATCCTGAGTTCATAGGTTAGTTGTGATTAGAATGTTGAATTTGGGCTCATCATGAGCGTTCAGAATATAAATCTCAGAAGATATTCATATAAATCCCTAGAAAGACTGGTTAGCTAGCTTAAAAATCATGATATCGTCTCCCGCTCTGCATGGTACTTCATCACTTCTCACTTCACACTGCTTTAAAGGCGTAGATCATGTCCATTCATTTTTCATTGAGAAAGACCTAGAGCAAACCGGAAGATGCAATAATGACTTCGGTCTTTTTGTGTGGCGAGAGAAGTTTGATATCTTTACTCTCCTGGCTACACAGAAACCGCAAGCCAACCCGCCATGACCGACCAACAACACAACGAAAGCAGAACCCTGATAATGCCGTCCGTACTCCCGTGCAGACCCCGTCTGAGTTCAACTCCCATCTTATTTCTTGTTAGCCTCCGCCTCAGCCTTGTCCCGAGCTCGCTTCTCCCGCGCGCCTTGTAGTCGGGCGTCGCTTCGGGCCTTGCGGAGCTTCGCGAAGGCACCACCCTCAATAGCCTTGGGTAGTTCGCTCTTCTTGATCTCTGAGATACCCTCACCGACGGGAACAATGGGGAGGGCAGATCCGACGGCGGAAACGGTCTTGGTGCTGCTGAGGTCGATGTCCTTGCTGTCACCGGCCTTGGGGTGCTTGGCACCCTTGCGAGGGAAGACGATTAATCGGGCCTTGTAGGCCTTCAGGCGGGCGACATTGGCAGCGAGGGACTCTTCGCTGAGGTTCTGGCGGCGGTGGTCGACGGCGATACCGACGGTGGGGGCAACGAGACGGGGAATACCAGCCTCCTATAGTGACGTTAGAAAAGGGAATCCTGTCATCAACATATTAAATTGTCTTATAATGTACCTTCAACTCAGTGAGAGTGAAACCACGTCCGGCACGAACGCGACGGTTGTACTTGATGGTAGGGCATCGGATAACGGGTCTCAGCTTGTCGACGGGTCGGGGAGCGACAGCAGCGGCCTTAGCAGCACGGACAGAGCGGCGGCGGATCTTTTGGGTGGGCTATTTCCATGGCGGTGTTAGAATTTCTGATTTCCATCATTTCGTCGGTAGATTTTCTGTGGCAATTAATTCATACCTGGTTGAAGTGAGTCCGAACCCGTCGTTGCCAATCCTTTCGGAAATCTATGTATTTTGATTAGTTGATTTGTTTTACTATTTAAAATGCGATCGCTCGGTCATCGTCGAAGAATGGGTTTTGGTTGACATACGGTTGTGCTGAATCTGGTTGTTGTGCTTGATCGCCTGTGGTGAATTGACATGTTAGCGCATCACTCCCTTGAAATTCAAAATGAGGAATTCGCATAATAATTGCAGCCTGATAGTGGTAACTATCATCGAGTGGAAATACTAACCATTGTGACTGATTGCGATCAAGGGTTGTTGGTTATGGAATGAATGGTCGTGGATCGCAGGTCTGGTCAATTCCAATTCCCGGATTGGAGGCACGAGAATTTCCTTAGAGTACTGAGTCTAACCCGCACTTTCGCCAAATTTTTTGAAGGGCTTGAAAACCCTACAATTTTGAAAGGTGGCTGTGCGATTTTGTGTGTTAACTGTGGGATCCACAGTGGCTTGAGCTTTGGCTCGAGATCCACTTGAGATGGATAGGTGGGGCTACTTCGTACGAGACCTGCAAAAAAAAAGTTTACGGTTCCTCACAGCTGGAAGTCGCGTGGTTCAAGTTTCTCGTCTCCATCAAGTCTTCTAGAAACACCATTGGACAAATTGGCAAGAGATACAAACGCCGTTGATAATCATATCAAGCCTTTATAATTGGACTTCTGTTTGTACGAACTGTATAGCACTTAGCATACTATTATAGGTACACTACATATGACTTATCTCAGCTATGACATAGACCTTTGACCTTTTAATGCTCTCTTCCTCTACGCTGTAATAGACATTTGGAATGCGCTTGAAATTCTCTTTGGAAAGTGCTTGAAATTCTCTTTGGAAAGTGCTTGAAATTCTCTTTGGAAAGTGCTTGAAATTCTCTTTGGAAAGTGCTGCTACATTGGCAACCGCCTAAAATAAAGTCTCTGGCGAAATTTAGTGTTTGAACTTGCTGTGACTTCTGCATAGCTTGAACGCTAATTGCTTAACTCGATCGATTTCATTCCAGCATTTTGCCAACGCTACACAAATTCGAATTAGTCATATTACATAACCACTGCACGTTATCTAAGACAGAACAAAGCTAAGTCAGCCCAAAATATCTCACCTAGTATATAAGCCACAAAGAACAGCCGGCTGTCATCCAATGGAATTCATCGCAATGGATAGACTCCCGTCTTCCAGGCCTTGGTAGCTCAATTGGCTAGAGCGTGGGACTTTTACACCGATCTGAACGCGGAATCCCAAGGTTGCGGGTTCGACCCCCGCCTGAGGCGTATAATTGCATATTCATCTTGCCAATGAATCAAGTTTTCTTTTTCCTCAATTTGTGTCAACACTTCGAAGTTAAACTTTTTGGTTTCGTGTTGTTGTGGAAGTCGCGCAGTTGGATTGGACTGAATTTTTAGTTCGAGAAATACCGCGGGAAGGAGGCATAGTGATTACGTCATTTGTTCCGATAAGAGATACATCTATGGATAGAATCGTAGCCATAGACCTCGGTTAATCTTTTAAATAATATCAACTCTCAGACAATGGCTTTTCTACCATGATCTGTAGCAAGGCACCTATTCGGAGGCTTTCCGCCTTAGCCTCTCGGCTTGGAGCTTTAGAAACACATGCGTGGCCGAGAAATGCCTATTGCTACCCTACTCGACGCCTTCATGGCACACCTTCCCGTCTCACCGACGGCGTGTTTCGCGGTCTTACAGATGATCGTCTACCCATGCCGTGGATAGAAGCATGGAGGCTTCAACAAGAAGGGAAGAACATCGCTTCCGATGAGGCTGGATCACGGGAGCGTGATCTCACACCCAAGAAAATGAGCGATAGTTACCACCGGGTTGTGCTCCCTCTGGGTCATGACCCTTGGCTTAGCGATACGTATATCAACGCATCCGGCCACATAAGGTCTTCGACCCATTACTCTTATTGACTAGGAACCTCCTCTAACTAAATATATATGATGTAGGCTAGGCACGGTATTCATGGACCTTGACGCTCTATCCGGTATCATCGTCTATAAACACACCGGACCTGGTGTCACAGTCGTGACTGCGGCTCTTGACCGTATCACCATCGCTCACCCGTTGACCGAGATATGCGATCTCGAGTACAGCGGACAAGTGACCTATGCTTCCGGAAGAAGTAGTGTAGAGATCACATGCAAGGTAGCTCGCGCTAGAGATGAAGGCGAACCCAGCAAGCCAGAAGACGTGCTTTTGACATGCACCTTCACAATGGTAGCTCTGGACCCTGTGACCAAAAAGCCCGTCAACATCCCGCGCGTTCTCGCCTCCACTCCCCAAGAAGAAGCGCTCTTCAAAGCGGGTGAAGCCAAAGCTCTCGCCAAGAAATCAAATCTCAAAACATCTTTACTCGAAACCGAACCCAATGATCCGGAATCCGCATTAATCCACAAGATCTGGCTCCGTCAACTAGCATATCACGACCCCAATAACAGCATCCGGCAACCGTCAAATGTAATCTCTATGTCGCGGACACAACTCTCGACGGCGTCCATCATGCAGCCGCAGTATCGTAACCGACATCAGACCATGATCTTTGGTGGTTTTCACTTGAAGCAAACATTCGAATTAGCCTTCTGCTGCGCAGCGAGTTTCGCCCACGCGCGGCCAATCTTTATCAGCGCTGATCCGTGTACCTTCCGTAACCCGGTGCCCGTGGGCAGCGTATTGTATCTCACTGCGACGGTCGTGTACACAGATCCGCCGGTGTTAGAGGAAGACGGTAGCGAGCCACAGCAGAAGGATTCGAAGAACCCGATGACACGGCTGCATGTTAGGGTCGATAGTAAGGTACGGGATGTCGAGCACGGGAATGCGAAACCAACTGGCCAGTTTAATTACACGTTCTTAGTGCCGAAGGATGTTAAGGTCTTGCCTCGTACGTATTATTTATCACTGCTTATCTTTTCTCCCATAGTTTTCCCTACTACTCTTTGAAATCTCATATTTTCTTACTGTTATAACTAATCTTCATACTCCAACTTTAAAATGTTCACTGACTCACAATGGTCCAGATACGTATCAAGAGTACATGATGTACATCGACGCAAGGAGAAGAGTGCAGCTAGGAGACGTACAAGATCGTCGGGAACACGCAACCTCCAAACTATCCGCCGAAAACGTGAATCTTACTGAGTGAAATGTGTACTATTTAGAACCAACAATGGCTATTTGGTCTAGTTTATAAAAGAGATGAGTATAATTAGTGTTGTATAAAGATATTCATAAACTCTGAGAGTTGCTAGAATTACAATTCCGCGCAATCCGAAACCATTTCTAGGTATATTTTCTCGAGGAGCGTTAACCACTTATGTACTATCCCTCGGCCTTAATTCATCGATTGTTTGCATCATGCGCTGTCTCCGTCAACATCATAGATGGCCTTGATCTTCGAGAAAATAAAGGCTTTCGATTGGTAGTATTTAATATTGAGATCGTGACACGACTGCTACTTTGGGTGGCAGCGCAAGGGATGGAGATCCGTGGATCTGACGGAGCATCGGAGCGGAGCATCGGAGGAAACCGGCAAAGATTATGACAATGAGCATCACTCATCCGTTTTTCATTCTAGAACTCATCATTTTCATATCAACTAGACATACTAAAGAATATCGCTTGCTTCTTTTTACCTAACTCGAAGGAAATTGATCTAAGAAATGTCTGATCCAGATGGACAGACCCCCTATAGTGGATCCGGTTCTACCCCGAGAGGCCGCGCTCGTCTGCCATCCAGCAGACGTCGGGACAAACCACAATTGTCTTGCAACCTGTGTAGGAAACGAAAGTATGTGCGACATCTCCGACGGCTTTCATATTCTAATTTCTCCATAGGTTAAAATGCGATCGAGGACATCCATGCGTTACATGTGCAAGACGAGGTTTAGGATCGTCTTGCACCTATGCTTTGAATATACCCTCCAACGATGGACCGAGTCAGCCGGCTAAGGCTCCCCTCAGTGTCCAGGATAGGATACAACAGCTGGAGAACCTCGTGGTTGATTTGATGAAGACGTCGGGGATAAACCCTATTCCCGATACGCCGGTCTCTATGTCTCCGCCTGCTTCCGTCATCGTCGCTGCTCCGGATAAACAAATAGTTAAAGATGCTTCTTCAATATCGGACTACGGGAGTATGAAACTGGGCGGTAAGAGCGTAAGCTATGTTAGCGGCGCTCATTGGGCAGCGATTCTCGAAGGGATCGGTGAGCTCAAGGATCATCTCGAGGAAGAAGAAATGCAAAATATCCCCCAAGCCGATGAAACCCCTGAACTCGATATACCTGGGCCTCAGTTGCTATACGGCTGCCCTAAACATTTGACTAAAGAGGAACTCCTAGATTCTGTGCCTCCAAGGCCGGTTACAGACCGACTGGTCTCATATTACTTTAATTCTTTCGAGATGTCTCCTTGTTGGTGTAACGTCAAGACCGTGCTCTATAGATAGAAGCTAACTTCAAAAGTAGCTGCACTTCATTCACATCAATTCCTTAAAGAGGTACTTGACACCTTACCCCCTAAATAGAAGCTCTATGTCCATAGTGGGCACTGACAATTTTATCCTAGTACGAGCAATTCTGGGAGTCCCCATCCACCGTCCCCGTCATGTGGTTAGGTCTTTTATTCGCCATCATGTCTCTCTCAGCTCAATTTCAAATGTTCAAGATAGACCACGGAGACCGGTTTTTACTTGCCACGCCCCCTAAGTTTGACCTACAGACCATGTTGGAATTGTTTAGACAGAATATCGTACAATGTCTCATCTTAGGCAGATACACGAGAGGAGGCCCATACGTCGTCGAAACGATGATTCTCTATTTCGCAAGAGAATACATCATCTGTAAGGATGCAGATATCGGCATTTGGCTACTGTTGAGCACCATTGTGCAAATCGCCATGCACATGGGCTACCATCGGGAGCCGAAGCATTTCAAAGGAATGTCGGCCTTTGCAGGAGAGATGCGGAGACGCGTCTGGATCACCCTTGTTGATCTCGACCTCGCGATATCTTCTCAGATGGGCCTCCCTAGGATGATTGAAGAAAGACACGCCGATATAGAATTGCCTCGCAACCTCCATGACAGCGACTTCGATGTCAACACGGTAGAGCTACCGCCCTCAAGGCCTGAAACGGAACTGACGTTGATACTTTATCGCCTTAACAAGGACCGCATGATGAAGTGTCTGGGATTGGTGTGGGATCTTGTTGTTGATATTAGGCCACACACGTACGTGGAAGTCATGAACATAGACGCCAAACTTGAGGAAGCGCATTCTTCAATCCCCGACTGTCTGAGATGGCGATCTATGGCTCAATGTGTCGCGGACGTACCGAGCATGATCGTGCAAAAGGTCTTCTTACGAATTATATACTACCGGGCCAAGATAGTTCTTCATCGCAAGTTCAGTCACACGAAGACACCGCATGAATACCCGTATTCCAGAGAAGCCATTCTAGACGCGGCTTTTAATCTCCTCGACTACCAACGTATACTCGACGAAGAGACGCAGCCATTTTGTCGGTTATACGAGGAGCGTTGGAGGGTTTCATCGCTTGTATCTCACGATTTCCTCCTTGCCACCAGTATTCTTTGCCTCTACCTCCAGAATACTCCGGAACATGCCCAACAAGCAGCCGAGTCCGCGCTGACTGAGAAAATCCTAAAATATCTCGAAACGTCATATGATATCTGGCTCCGGCGTAGTAGCGTTTCGAAGGAAGCACACAAGGCCGCCAAGGCTCTCAGCATCGTTATCCGAAATCGTCGGGGCTCCGAAAATACCCCTAATGTTGAGCCTACAGTACCGGAGGACTGGATGAATTGGCTAGACGGGTCTTCCGGCTCTTCATCTTTACTACAGTCCTGGACTGACCTTGATGTACAATCATCTGACGGTAAGTAGATATATCATAGCCATCTAAGGGGAATTTCACAAACTGACAACGGCAGCAGCTGTGAATACTCTGGGTGCGACTCAATGGCTTTTCGGTTTGTGACGATGAGATTATCTGATCTATTTTGATCCTCGATTCTTCGAATAATCCTAAATGTCTAGAGATATACATACCTCTTTATCACACGTCAGATATTTTATGATTGAACGAGGAGTCTCGTGGGTGTTAAGGAAGTTCCAAGGTTGACCCCAAGACCGCCGTAACGCTTAAATTAAATGCGTTGAACGCCCTCTAAAAAGACACCTGGGTAGGTAGTTTTGCTTTGGGGGATAAATGGAGTTCAGGCGGTGAATTA